AGATATATCAAAGAATACTTGTACTCAGTTGGAACAGAGTAGCGAATCATCATATTTTCTTCTTGCTACAGAAATATCTAACAATTCATTCCAAGAATATCAAATATTAGATATATCAAAAAATAATGTTCAAACAGAGCCAATAAACTCTAATATCACCCTGTAAATTATCCAATCATTTAATGATCAACAATGTATGGATTATGTAAGTCAATTAGATAATGCTTGTGGCCCATTTGATCAAACTAGTGTTCTTCAATATGCCAATAATCAAGAAGCTACTTCAGATTCTTTTAATGAAGCTTTTATCAATGATGATTTAGATGCTGATACTGAAAATGGCAATAATGTTAATCCAGAAAGGTGTGAGAGATTGGTTGAAAGCGACAGTGATATTGACTTTGAGAACGACGTGGAGGATTCTCATAAGAGTAAGTGTTTTCATTATATGATTAGAGTTGCTGCAAATAGAGAAATCAAAATAAAAAACCTAAAAACACATATTTATACACAGTTCATAGGTTTGGAAAGAGAAAATGAAAAATTATTTTTATTTAAAAAAATTAAATAGGTTGGGTTATGTTCAATGTGACCCCTCCATCAAGTCAATAAGTTCAATGTCTTGAGAAAAATGTTCCAGATGTGACTAACATATTATGGCACATTGGTTATTCATATATATAAGTTTAAATTTTTTAAAGTGAACAGCTATTGTACAGTATGTCGCTAATGTATGGAATAAATTCATTATTTCTAAAATAATCGACTTTTGAAAAAAATCCAAAAACAGGTCAATTTTAATTTTTGAATCGTCATCACATGATGTAGATGTAACGAACATTACGTCACCAATATTACCGTGGTGACGTAATCGGCAATTTTTTTAAATGCAACCATGTGTCTCAAAACACCTCATTGGAAAGGTCTTCTAATCGTCTTTACAACGATGTAATTATTTGAATATTTATTTCTACAGGGTCGACCAAAACTGTTTATTTACTAAAATCCTAATCATAAATTCTGATTCACTGAACTAAGTTATTGTAAGGACCGCCACTGGAAATAAAACATCGTAGTGTACCCAAAAAATATTTCTGTATTTTGGATATGTTACTGATAATAGTACTAAATTCTAATTTAACACTAATTGATGTATATCAGTCAAGTGTTCAATAGTTAAAATCTTTAAATTAGCATAATTTAGTAATGAAGCTTACAGAAACTGAACGAATCGAAATATTAATGATGATTGGCTATGGAGATAGAGTAAGGATACAGAGAGAAGTTGGCAATTTATTTAATGCTAAATACCCCAATCGTGAACCCATTTCTCAATCAACAATTAGTAAAATCGAGAAAAAGTTTCGAGAAACGGGCCATGTTAAAGATCTCCCCAAAAGTGGTAGAAAGTCAATTTCCGAAGACAAAAAAGTTAACGTTTTACTAGAGTTTCAAGAAAGACCCCACACCAGCACGAGACAAGTTGCGCTGGATAATAATTTACACCATTCTACTGTTGCTAGAGTACTGAAAAAGGAGAAGTGGCATGCGTATAAGGTACATTTGGTCCAAGAGCTGTTAGAAGATGACTTTGTAGGAGAATTGAATTCTGTGAAACAATTATGGAACGATCTAACAAAGATCGTAATTTCATAAAAAATATACTTTTTTCGGATGAAGCAACTTTTATGCTCAACGGCCATGTAAACCGCCAGACATATCGATACTGGGCAAGTGAAAATCCCCATTGGATGCAGGAGTATACGACACAATATCCTGAAAAGGTGAATGTTTGGGCCGGCATTATAAATAATCAAATAATAGGGCCATATTTTTTTGAAGGAAACTTGACCGGTCCTCGATATCTTCAATTTCTTCAGGATTATCTATTACCACAATTAAATCAACTATTTCCAAATAGATGTGATTTGTGGTTTCAACAGGATGGGGCACCCCCACATTACGCCTTTGATGTACGAACCTACTTAAATGCTGTTTTTCCAGATAGGTGGATAGGAAGAAGAGGAACGATCGAAAGGCCACCAAGGTCGCCAGATTTGACACCCTTAGACTTTTTTTTATGGGGATACTTGAAGAGCAAAGTTTATCAAAGTCGCCCAAATGATATAGAAGAGTTGAAGGATCGCATCAGAACGGAGATTGCACAAATAACGCCTGAAGTTCTCGTAAACGTTAGAGACGAATTTACTGCTCGGCTGTCTCATTGCATTATTGCTGAAGGTCATCAGTTTGAACATTTAATATAATTTAATTGTTTTTTACTAAACAGTTTTATGTATTTTAGTAAATAAACAGTTTTGGTCGACCCTGTAGAAATAAATATTCAAATAATTACATCGTTGTAAAGACGATTAGAAGACCTTTCCAATGAGGTGTTTTGAGACACATGGTTGCATTTCAAAAAATTGCTGATTACGTCACCACGGTAATACTGGTGACGTAATGTTCGTTACATCTACATCATGTGATGACGATTCAAAAATTAAAATTGACCTGTTTTTGGATTTTTTCAAAAGTCGATTATTTTAGAAATAATGAATTTATTCCATACATTAGCGACATACTGTATATTATTAGAAATAAGTCGAAAACGAAAAAAACACTGCTGCTTGTATTGTGGATTGATGACTGTTACTTTGCCTAGACATCTTATAAGAAAACACAAATTAGAGGAAGATGTAAAGAAGGCTTTATTATTTGGAAAAAGTAAGTACTTACAAAATATTAATATTATTGTTTTCATGCTAAGAAGCATGGACTTATCGTGAGCTTACTACCAAACGTGATCAGGTCAAATGTTATGTAATTTGAGTTAATATGACTAAATAACTTGTTAAAGTCAGATCTACCAATAAAATAAAGACCAATTCATATTTATACTACTTAAAAATACTAAATGAACTCAATTAATATGACTGGGTCATTTTTTTTCGGTACATTATTTGACTTTAATAAGTGACTTTAATTACATAAAATTTGATTTGGTAAATTTTTGCAGTAAGCCCACTTTATGTGTAATTAATCGCCTACAGTTCAAAAAGCTACTCAAAATATAAAAAAAAATTCAAAGAAACCAAACATGTTATGGCTACGTGGCTTACATTAGCCCTGAAAAAACAAAGTTGTGTATGGAAAGGTTGCAGATTAAAATAAAATAACCAAGGAAAATATTGATAAATAATTGTGTAACTTTTTTTTAAATTTCTCAATTATGGCCAATTGTAGAAAAATTATGAATATGAGAAAAATTGTACAAAAAAAAAATAGTATTTGTTCTGCCAAATCTGCCCAATAAACTGATTTGCATTAATGTCGTATGTCTGTGGTACCTGGAAATAAAAAAAGATAATTCAGGGGTTCTCTTCCAAACTAACAAAATTTTAGGCTCATTGTCGTAAACTAAAAGCTCTCTACTACTTTTATAAAATATCTATACATGTTTCAACATAAAAAGTTTTAAAACTTTCTCGTAATTAAGTAAAACCTTCATACATGAGATAAGAACAAATTTTCATCCTTCTTTTCATATTTTCGTTTATTAAGTAATTGAATAACATCTATTGTATAATACACAAAACGAGGGTTCACTCACTTAATGTGCATTACCTTACATTACCTATCTTACGAAGTTCACATACCAATCTTTTTTGTATTTTTTAATATATTCTCATGTACTTAGCTAAACTAAAAGTCTTTTCTTAATCTGTTTCATTAAAATGTAATTTTTCTTTTTATAGGACTACTATTTTGATTAATTTGTACAAAACCTATAATAGTTAAGCACTAGCTTCAATTTTATACTTTTTATTTACAAAAACACCTTTAGAATATTGTCAATAATGTGGATTAATCTAAGAAACAATTTAGTATGTACTAACCTTATACAATAATGTACTAATATTGAACTTGTACTAAGTACTTAAATAAATACGGGTCCATCCACCATACTAGGAACCCTAAACATGATAATCAATTTAAGCTTGTCTGCACTTTCAAATTTTGTACTTTTTTAAGGCTATGTTTATGTAATTGCTGAGAATTTTGAAATAGTATTTTCTAGTCTACACACAAATATACCGATCCGTGAAAGAAAGAGCCAACTTAAATGAGCTGAGAGTAACTTACAGAATCCGTCAAATTGATTAGCCCCAAAACTACGTACCTAGTTGGCTGAAGTAAGCGATTACTTTAGAATCGTCTTGTCCATAAAGATCTAATCTCTAAAAAAAAAAAATGCCCGCGCTGGGCCTCGTAACTTCCCATCTCCGCGTTTTTTAAGGCCGATAGCAGCGTGCTTACATATTTCTCCTAAATTCAATTAAACACTATTTTCAGTCTAATTATTCTTTATTATTTCTTCGATTTTTTTTATAAAATATTACGCAAAATTGTTATAAAATTTATAAAAACATATCCAAAAGGTCAAAATCAAAACTTTACAAAACCAGTTGTAGACAGGAGTAAATTGGTCATCCTACCATGTTCACAGTAAGGCAAACGAATTTGTATATACAAATAATATTGCCCCAGATCTGATTTCTAAAGTACATCACTGAATTAATTTTTTCCTTTTTTAAAGAACCTAATGTATGAACATACCGTTTATAGTTGATGACATTTATTCATTTTATTCAGATTCGACAGAAAAACGAAAGTATTTCGACAAAATTAGAAAAGAAGGTGACTTCTCATATAACAGGCGGAGTGAAGATGACATTGTTGTTAGAGAGTCTAACAAACCTACACAAACATCATTTCTTCCTTGTCCATTTTGCTCTGGATACTATTCTGTGAAAAACTTGAGGCACCACATAAGATTAACATGTTTGCACAACTCCAAAAGCAAATGTAGTTTTCTTGGTCAGAGCATTGTGAAGGGTTCCTATATTCATAAATTAGCCTGCGATAGTCTAAAGAATTTAATTTATCCAAGCATACGTAATCCTCAAGCGTTCAGACTTTTGAGAACAGATACGACTGCCGTATTGTATGGTAATAACCTAGCTTAAATGTATCTAACCATAAGCCAACATCACGCGAAAATGATAGCAGCACAGCTAAGATTATTGGCAAAAATTTTTTTTCAAATACAATTGGTAAATCCTGCATTAAAGAAGATTAAAGATATTTTCTGTCCAAAACAGTACAATAATCTTGTAAAGGCTATTAAATTAATGGCAGGTTTTGACGGCAAAAAGTACACAACTCCTTCTGTAGTTCATTCAGCTTGTATTCTAATAAAAAAACTTGGGAATTTTGTAAAATGTCTAAAAATTAAAGAAAATGATGATGAGGGAATGAAAATCGTTGAAAATTTTATGTTTTTATTAAATACTAGTCAAAATAGTGACATGACTAAGCTAGCAACAGAAACAAGGACTAGAAATCAAAGGATAAAATCCGAAATTCTTCCAACGACTGCGGAGATTAACAATTTAGTATCTTTACTGGTTAAAGATATAGATGAGTGTTGTCAGTCATTAGGAGAAACGTTTAACAAATCTGTATGGATTCATTTAAGTCAGTTAACATTATTATATATCCTCGTATTTAACAGAAAGCGTCCAGGTGATGTTGAAAGGACTGAAATAGTCGAATATAAAACAGTTACAAGCGTCCCGGAGAAAGACGTGAAAATATCCGCAAAAGAAAAAATTCATGCTTCAAATTTTGCAAGGTTTGTTGCAAGAGGAAAGTTAAATAGGAGTGCTTCCATACTTCTGTCCAATAAAGTTCGAACTGCTATAGATCTGTTGCTGAAACATAGAGAAAATGCTAATGTCAATAAAGACAACAAGTATTTATTTGCAGATCCTTCCAAGAAGGACTCCTATTATGATGCTGCCATTGCATTAAGAAAGTACTGTGAAACAAAAGGATTTCCCCCTGGTAAATTTACTGCAAATAAATTGAGGAAACATTTAGCTACTTCTACTGCCACTTTACCAAAAGAAACCCAAACTGTTATTAGTGACTTCATGGAACATGGACAAGAAATACACAATAATATATATAAACACAGGGATGCTTTCATTGATATAATTGTAATGGGGCAAGTTTTAACAGACGCTTCTGGTTTTACCAAAAAACCCTTACAATTTGGTCCACCATGTAATAATCCATTAGATGTTGTAACACCAGAATGGATTCACGACAGTGACAGCAGTTCTAATTCAGATACATTTTCCACTAAAAAAAATAGAAAGCGAAAAGTTTATTCCAAAGCAAGAAAAAATTTGTCGGTCATTTTAGAGGAGAATGACGATAATTCATTTTTAAATAAATTAGTAAGCAATGGGGACAATAATGAATCATTACCTTCAACTAGTAATTCTCAAAGTCAACCAATTTTAAATCGCAATCTTATAGAGAATAATGCAAAGTCACCTCAATGGTCTTCTTCATCATCATATCAGTTAAGTGATGATGAACGTTCAAGTGATTGCTCTGAAAGAAGACACATACCTATACAATTTTCAAGGGCAAAAAACAGAACTTGGACTACTCCTGAAAGAACACGCACCAGGGACATATTTTCTGATTACTTAAATAAGGGCGAGGTACCTGAACTTAAGCTAATCCAAGAGAGAATAGTGAATGTTGGATCAGACACCTTTTCTCGTTCGTTGATACAAATTCAAGGTTGGCTCAGAGCTGAGATTAAACGAAATGCAAGAGGTAAAATTTTTAATTATTAAAGTGTGAATATATATATATATATATATATATATATATATATATATATATATATATATAGTTTTTTAATTTTTGTTTAGATGGGTATTTTATGGTTATAGAAAATATTCATAAGATACCTAGAAATAAATTGAGCCTATTACAAAAGTTCAACACAATTTAATTTCAAATGATACCTCAATTTTAATTAATCTGCCTAGAGATACTTGGTCTTTTTAAAAAATTGTTTGTAGTCTGTGCAGGATCCTAAAGATTTAAAAATGTTCATTCTCTCTAAACCATGTTTGGTTACAACCTTTTGTTATTTAGGATTCCAAATGTATTATCTTATAAGATGATCTGTTATGGATTTAAATAACAAATATGTAATAAATTACAAAAAAAATCAAATTTTAACATTTTTAGGTAAAAACGGTTGGACAACACCCCAGAAAATTAAATGTAGAGAATATTTTTCTGATTACTACAATAAGACTAAATCATCTAGGTATCCACCTGTTAAAGCTATGAAAGAAGCCATAAGTACTGTTCCTGAGTTTAAAGAGAAAACAGTTGCAACCTTGAGAAGTCACCTTCAGCATGATTTTGCATATCTGGATTGCATACCCAAATAAAAAAAAACTACGTTTTTTTTACATAATCTGTCTCCATGCAAGTAAATATGTTCCTTAGCCTCTCTGGTAGGTTCCTATCAAATTATTATAAATGAAAGTCTTGTTGCTTAATAATTTCATAAATTGCTTGCAAGCTCCGAGGCATTGCTTTAAACGGCCCACACACAACGAGTTTATGTACTGCAAGTTGAACTGCAGGTTGTAGAGAAAGTCGTAGGATTTACTGTAAAGCCATGTTCTGTACACTATACAATACATCGTACTGCAGCAGTTTAGATTATTGCAGTTGCATTATTTTCTTCTGTCCCTTCTGGAAACATTTTCTTAAATTTGTTCAATAAAATGTAACTTATATTATTTATAAACGATAATAAAATATCAAAACTCAAATGTGATAGATGCAAAATGAAAATAAAATGAATTTAGCTCAAAGCCGAATATCACATAAAACACAACGACCGTTTCCCCTTCAGAAAACAACTACTCCTTTGGCTAATACCACAACAGGCATTGAATTACATCCGAAGGAAAAACAGCAGAGATAGAAATTAATTTTCAACACTCTCTACTTTAATTTTGCTCACCAAGGAGAACATCATTCTTGGACCGGTTTCGTCCTTATTAGGACTCCTCAGCAAGAAATAGATAGGTTCTCAATTCCAGTCTCTAATGGAATTAACAGATGCTACACATTTCACCAGTATACCATAAAGTTGGTTACGGAGAGAATAAAATTCAAGTAGTGAAAATGGTGTCGCCATCTGTTCTTAGTAAGCAAAATCAAAATGCGCTATGGTACCCAGTTTGAAAACTAGGTGGAACCAAATAAACCAGGCGGGCAATTTGTAAACGATAATAAAATATCAAATTATTGATATTTTTCGTTTGTGAGATATAGCTCATTGTAAGTTTTTAAATTGTCACAACGTATAATATTTATATGTAACAAACTTGTTTTAGGTTTCTTTTTCTTTATATTGAGACCAAATGAATGAATTAGTGCAAGTTAAGGCTTCATTTTTTAATTTTGTTTCTATTAGTGCAGACACATTTATAATTGTTACTAGCATCAAAGCTGAGTGAGTATTTTTGTTGACACAGACTTTGAAATTTGTCTTTCATATTTTCTGTTATTTGTACCACTTTGGTAAGAATTTTTTCTTTTAATGCAAGACTTCTATACAAGGACAGTGGTTTTTCGTATCTACTTTTATGTTGTTTACATATGTTGTACCGTACTCATGACCTAAAAAATACTTTTTAGTTTAGTGTATTTTACATTTAAAAGTTGAAGATATTTGTCAATATTAGCTGTTTATAATGTCAAAACATAGTCGTACTATTGAGTTTTTTTTATTGTCATTAGTCTGCATTATTTCCTCGGCTTTGTACATTTCTTTTGATTTGGTTTTATCTATTTATGTCAAATACAGGTTCCACACAATATTTAACCATATACAACACTAGTTAAATTAAGCCCATCTATAGTTACGCATGTGTTCTTACATCCACATTATTGACAGATGGTATTAACAAATATTTTGAACCTTTAAATGTAAAATACCCTAAACTAAAAAGTATTTTTTACGTTACGGGTACAACCTGGCATGTAAACGGCATAAAAGTAGATAATAAAAACGAAAAACTAAACTAAAAAAGCAGCCTCTTTACGTGACTCGATTTCTTAAGTCATTCATGTCAATTTTATTTCTTTAGGTTGGTTGCATTGTCCTTGTATAGAAGTCCTCTATATACAAGTTGTGTCTGTGGGCGGCCTACTGGACTAAACCACCGTGGCAGTCAACGTGTTAAAAAGTATTTAAGCACAGTCCTTGAAGATTTGAAAGTGCTTCAAGCACTTTACAAAAGTACCCTTTACCTAGCTCTGACTAGAATTTTATTAACTGTTGAAATAACTACTTATTGTTTTATGAATAAAGTAGTTTAACTGTTGTTTTAGGTATCTAAACCAGTTTTGTTTTTCCTCTATATTCAGATCAAATGAATACAATTTAGTGCAATTTTAAGGTTTTGGGATATATAATATGTGCATGTAACAAACTAGTTTTAGTTTTTTTTTTTATTCAGACCAAATGAATACAATTCAGTGCAATTTGAATGTTTTGAGATTTGAGACAGTGTGACAATTTAAAAATTACAATGGGCTATAAGTGCTTAAAACCGTTTCTAGGATAGGAAGGGGGGACTAAAATGACTTTTCCAACCCCTTAATTTTTAATAGGAGATATACCATGTGTGGCACATTATTTTAAAAGTAATTATATTGGGAATTCAATATAATTGTTCTTTGCGGTGCTTTTGATGTAGGCGCCCCCCAGTGGGATACGTATTGTAAAGTGTGACACTTCATTTGAAAGCTGATTTTATTAATAATGCAATGCAACAATAATTTAAATATCTCCATATTGGACTTCTATATACAAATACAAATTAAGGGGTTGGAGAAATGGGTGCGAGTTTTCTTTTGTTATTTTAGTTCTCTTTTCCTATCCTAGAAACGGTTTTATGAATTTTTTGATATTATCTTTGTTAAGGCCTACTAGGTATGCAACCGATAGTGTTTTAGTTTTATTTCGGTTGGGACAGTTGGTACTACTAAACCTTGTGCCATGGAACTATCAAGTTGTCTCCAACGTCTTTCATTGAGAATTCATTCATCTCTTGTGTCGGTCTTACTCACACAATTATTGTTTTTAATACAAAGTAAATAAAAGTGCTGTTCAGTTCTCCTTCGAAGCAATAGTTTTATTTCTCATCAGTTATACAGTCCACCAGCTCAACAATTACATCCACTCATCATACATTCAACATTTTTTAATCCATTCGCCCGGATTGTGCTTGTAAAGCGAAATCATTTTTGCACTAGCCTCAAACAGGGTGCAACAACAATTTCATCGAGTCGAGACGCAGCATTTCTACGGTTTCCTGATGCCAGCAGGAGTCGATCGTTCATCATAGAGAAACTCATCAATCATCACGTGGTCTAGGCACGCTAGTCTCAAGCGGGGGTCTATCTACGGTAGCTTGATGAAAAGTCTATCAACATTTGCTAGAATTCTGTGAGTCTATTCATTTATTTTATCCATTTATTCATATTACCAATTACCATATCATTTAACAAATCAAGTGTATTTTGATCTGAATCAATAACAATAGGGTATCCATTTCAATGCAATTTAGGTCATTTATCAGTTATTATTCGCACCGACAGTGATTAGTTTAGAAACATTTACATTCACTTTACACCTTTTAAACATTTATTATCATTTTTAGTAGGTCTTTAAAGTAATTACAATGCCTGATAATGAGGAAAACGGTTCTAAATCTACTATAATTCAGGGAACTAGCTCGAAATCTGTAGTTCAAGTAGAATCGAGTGATGACAAATTAAAACGCGTATTAAGTGAAAGAGAGATTTTAGTTTCAAAATTAACACGTTTCATCAATTTCACGAAATCTGCGGTGGAAGAAAACTTGGTAGAATTGGAAACCAGACTTGATCATGTTCAAAATATATTATTTCAGTTCGATAATGTTCAAAATCAGATAGAATCTTTAGACAAAAACGAAATGTTACTAAATAACAGAGAGTCATTTGAAAATAGCTATTATAAATCAGTAGCTACTGCCAGAAACTTTATAATACAAATGCATGCTAACATTAATCAAAAGGTAATGACAGGTGTTAATTCACAAGCAACAGTTCAACACAACTCAAATCGTTCTTGTCTCCCTCCAATAGATCTCCCCACTTTTGATGGAGATTATAAAAAATGGCTTTTTTTCTTTAAAAGATTTTCTGCGTTGGTTGACAAAAATACCCAATTATCAAAGGTTGAAAAATTGTACTATTTACAGGGCAGGCTTCAAGGTGAAGCGGCTGCAATCATTCAAGTGAGTTAACAGATGAAAATTACTCTGTAGCTTTACAATTATTAATAGATCGCTACGAAAACAAGCGCGTAATCGTTGACAAGCATGTTGATGATCTTTTTAACATTCCAGATGTAGTCAATGAATCTGCAGTTCAGTTAAGGAGACTCATTGACTCATTTAAGCAACATTTAAGATCTTTAAAGGCACTTGGTGAGCCCACTGATTCCTGGGATCGTTTATTAATACAGCTCATTAAAAATAAATTAGATAAAACCACCAGGGATAGGTGGCAAGAGGTGTCACATTCTCAACCTCAAAGGGCTCCTCCCAAGTTGTCTGAACTAATGGAATTTTTAGTATGTAGATGTGAGTTTCTGGAAAGCATTGAAAAAACAAAAAATCATTCACATAAACTCATTTCCAACTCACAAACCCCTACAAAAAATTCTCATTTCAAAAATCATTCACAAGCAAATAGAATCAATCATACTTTTTCAGCAATTCAAAATACACCTGAATCAAAATCAACAGTAACTTGTTTCTACTGCAATCAATCTCATGCCATTTATAGTTGTACCACATTTTTAAAACTTGCATTAAAAGATAAGTATAAGGAAATTATGAGATTAGGGTTGTGCATTAATTGCTTAAGAAAGGGTCATTCTAAATTTCAGTGTAGTTCAGGTGGTTGCAAAACTTGTCATGCAAGGCATAACACTATTCTTCATGGCACAAATATTGTAGAGACTAAAACATTACTTTCCAGTTCAGCAACAGAGTCTAACAATGAGTGCAATTCTTCACCTGGTACTGTTGATCAGGATGAGCCACATCAACATTCTCCATGTAACAATTCTACATTAACCTCTAGTTCAGCACATTCAATAAAAAAATGACAATTTGGTTCTTTTATCCACAGCGATTATTTACATAAAGGATCACGTTGGCAATTTACACACTGCTCGTGCTCTGTTGGATGTAGGAAGCCAAAGTAATTATATAACAACTTCATTAGCTAAAAGATTACAATTACGAGAGCAAAACGTAAACATTTCAATTTTTGGGGTAGGCCAAAATTCCATTGGTGTCTTTAAACAATCTTT